TCTTCACCATTAGTTCTGGAACTCAGAATAATTTTGCCTGAGCCATGGAAGGATTTTTTTATTTGACTGCATTTATTATTAATATTAGCATTACTATTAATATTGTTATTAAGACAGGCATTAATCCAAGTGCAAAATTTTGATCCACAGAGATTTTGGCAAAGCTTTTAGATAGTCTTTGAAAACACCCAATCACTTTCATTTTGCAAACTCTCTTCAATTTACAAACCATACAGCTTTAGATTAGAAATACATAATAAAAAAATATATATACACCAGCACGAAAAAGAGGGTTTGCAAGTCCCTGGGCACACCATCCAAGGCAAGGATTGGGCACTGACCATTTCAGGTAGCAGAGACACTGCCTGTGAAATTGGACTCACAAATTGTGAGAGCCAGGGAAACTAGCCAGGGCTTCCTGCTCCCAGGAATGCTGTGATACTCAGTCTGAGATGTTCTTCATGATGCTCCTGACTGCTCCTCTCTGAGAGCAGTTCTTCTTCAAGGACTTCAGGACTACTGAATCTTGCCTGCTGTCCATCTGCAGACTGGGGTCCTACAGACACTTCAGCATCCCATACTCCAAGATTTTCTCACCATGTGACCATTGAATCCATTTGTTCCCAGCTCAGTGGGCTAGATAGTTAAATTAGGCTCACATTCTCCATACTTTACCATGCCAAGTGAGCTGTGGGACTCTCAATAGCCTGGGGAGCACACGGTCCTCCAGCCATCACACATGGCCGATTTCCTGGAATGCAGATCGCAGATGAAGTGGTCTCCATTCACAGTCTTTTTCTTGGAATAAGCAATGGGGAGTGCTGTTCAACATAAAGCAGCCAGATCTAATTGGCATATGCTGGAGACTGATAAAGAAACACAACTCTATAGAGGACCACTCCACCCCCTTTTCCAATTAATTTCGAGGCAGTGAATTAACAGATGTACAGCCTCAAAGGCCAAAATTCTCATTTTCCACTAAATTTCCTGCTAGTTCCTCAAAGGACGGGGAAAACACTAAAAGTAATAATTACAGTATAATTCAGAACAGCAGTCATCAGAACATCTACTTTTTTGGACCCCCTCTTGGTGGTTGGGGTTTTTTTTGTGTTGTGGCTTGGCATTATTAGCAATAGAATTTGGTTAGGATCTTATGTAAACAGAGTGGCCTTTTATAAAAAGGAAGAGCTTCAGCCTCACTAGGTGGAGGCCTTGCACAGCTCAGTGCCAGTGCAGGTCACTGCTGTGGGGTTTGAGGTTCCCCACAGCCCCTTTCTATGGCAGATGTTAATATTCCCTCACCAACCCTCGCTCTGGGACCCCTGGTCTCTTCCCATCCTCAGTTGTCTGCTCTCTTGGACATGATTCTTTCCTCAATGGTAAGCCAGTTCATCTCCCAATTTAGGTACCCAGCTAACTTTATGGCCCAACCCTACAAAATTGTCAAACACACCAAAGTTAGCAATTCTTTAAAAGTGACAGCAGATGGTGCTGGCACATCCTTGGCTCATTTAAATACATACATGAACCAAGTCATTCAGATCTAGGCTGGGGAGCCATATTTTGTATGAAAAACTTGGCTTTTCTTGCAGAAGTCAGCGTGTGGTCTATTCTCTTCAGTCTCAGAGGAGAATCAAGTCTTGTTTACTCTAAAAATACAGGAATTGGAGCCAGCTACCAAAGCAGAACCAGATGTCACTACCCAGAAGAGAGTGTACACAGATGGTAGGGGGACATACGGCACACAAGTTCTTTCCTACTGTGAGTGTCCCTGTCAAGATAGCTCTTTAGCTTTTTCACTGTTTGTTCCTGGAGGCAATATGTAGAGAAGTTAACTGCCAGTTTTTTGGTTTGGTTTTTTTTTTTTCCTGTTTTAAGGGGGCAGATGAATTTATTTATTTTATTTTTTTTTAAATAACTCCCAAAGACCCTGCTTATTCACCATTTCCGAAGTGGGAGGATTTATAGCCTCCTGTACCTGTCTGTAACTCCTACAAAGATGCATTTGTCATGCCACCTCCTCTGAGCTTCATTTGAAATTGTGTGGCTGTGTCACACCTTACCAGAAAGTACAGACCCAGTTGATACAGTCTGAGTGTGCTTCCCTAGGAGCCAGGGGTAGGGTAAGAGTAGATAGTTCAAATTTCTTTCCAAATTCATCTTCTTGGCCAAGTCACTCACTTCCATGGCACAGAAGAAATAGTTTTGCATATTTGAAAAATAGAAACCAAACAAACAGCATGGGTATTAGAAACAGTGTGCTCAAAGAGATCAAAAATACCTTCTTAAGGACTCGAATGCGACCCTTCCCATCTTTCAGGGAACTTATATGTATTCACAGTATATAAAACGAGCAAAAAAGTGAAAAAGATCAAAACCAACATTAGAGGTTGAAGGAGACATGAGGCAGCAGTGAGGTGTGTTTCCATGGACAATGCAGGAAAAGGAAGCACTCCCCTGATACATATTACTGGTGAGGTAAGTGAAAGAGAGGCCACAGATTCAGTAATTGCCAGCAGAAATTAAGTCCATCAAGGAAACTACTCAGTGAAGAAAAAAAAAAACCAAACAAACAAACAAACAAAAAAAAAATATCTAACGAGGCTCTGTTCAAAATTCCCCTTCTACTACAGCCACTGCAGTGCTCAGAAAACATTTAGGTCAGGATCAAATGAGTGGCTGGGGGCAAAAGAATTTACATATCCAAATCACCCAATCTGGAGCAGCAATTAAAATACAACCTTTCTGGAGCAGAAAATTCACTTCAATGACTTGGTGAGCTTTCTGCCTTTCCTCAGGGTGAAACACCAGTCTCTGCTAGTCACCATTACTGCCAAGCTGAGCTCTAGCTCCTCCTGTAATGCCACAGCTACCAAGGTGCTCTCTCAGAGGTAGTCTACACGATCTGTACTTCTTAACTATCCCCTGATGCCCAGTAGACATCAAACTCCTTTTCCAAATCAATTTCAACATGGAAAGTAATCCTAGAGTGGGCTGAGGACTGGGTTTGTACCACTTTCTAGCTCACTTTTAACGACTTACGTTCAGTTTGTCTGAACAAATGCACCAAGTCCTGGTTAATATTACCCCATCTTAAAAGAGAAAAAGCATACACATCAAGTGGTGTACTTTGCCTTTAGTCTCAGGAACAATGAGCATAGGGACGAGTGGAAGAAACTCTTACTGCTCCTGTGCCTGTGTGTTGTATCATCTATTGAGTAAACCAGAAATCTGGGGAGTTCTCTGGAGTCAGTCAGGGCTGTCCTGGCTGGGGCGATTGCATAGATTCCACCAGGTTATAACAATTCATTCTGGGTTTGGGCTCAGAGCACATGCTCCTTCCCATTATATAAGCCTCTATCCATGAATTAATACAGTCACAGATGTGTACATCAGAACATGAAACAAGCCATATCTCAGCACTAGCTGTCATAAAGGTAAGAAAGCTGGATATGGGAGGAAAGTTATGAAAGGAGGAAAGCCTCCCAGAAAAAACTGGCCACATAATGTGGATGGAAAGACACAGTGGAATAAGAAAATCTGAAACAGGTTAATCGCAAGGCAAGAAAGGGAAAGGGCAATCTGGAGTGACAAATAAATTGACTAGAACAAGCCAACGGAAGTAGTAACATACAGTTATGGTTGAAAAGTAAAGAATGGTGCAGAGAACGCCTTCAATGTGTCCTCCACCACATACCATTCAGACTCTTTCTTTTCTCTGTCAGCATAGATAGACAACAAATTGAGAGGCATCTACTACATCGTGGTGAACAAATACTTTTCCATGGATCACACTGCATTTGCCTTTTCTTTCTGAAATTATCAAGTTTCCAGAAACAGACCTCTTGCCAACTAATTGTGGAGGGTTTTTTAATAAGGGGTAATCAGCATATCTGTCTCCATGGGATTTTTTATATCACCACAAAAAATGGTGGTTTTTCCTACATGAATTGCAAAAAAAAAAAGAAAGAAAAAAAAAAGTTTCCAAGGGGAGAAAACACAGACAAAATTCAGCTTTAAAATAAAGTCCCATGATGGAAGGATAAGCCACTTCATGTCATGTAGTGACATTCAAGTAGTTAGCTAACAATTAACCACAATAGCTGAAACCTTTCCCCCACACTCATTTTCACACAAGAATACCAAGATGCCTACATAATCATACATTCATAGAACGGTTTGGATTGGAAAGAACAACAACAAAATAAAAAAAAGCAGGCAGAATTGACTTTTGCATTCAGATGATACTCTTCAAGGCTGGAGCCCTGCAAGAGATCTGAAGTATTTTCAGTTTCCTGACCATTTCAAGAGACTAAGTTTAGAAACACCCCATAAACCAGATATTACAGAATTATTCAATAAATGTCTAAAAAGCCATGGATACCATTCCATTTGCTAAACACATTTGGTACCAACTGTTCAGCTGAAACACATTTAGTTGTTGTTGTGAGGAGTTTTAAATATACCTGCTGTATCATGTAATTCCCCAGTGCCTTCAAGAAGCAAGGATAAGGCCTATTGCTCAGGAGGGGACCTCAAGTCTTGCACAGTGAAGGTTCTTGCAGCTGTGAGGAATTCAGACAATCACAGAAAGGCAACAAGGAACAGAATAACTAGAAAAATGCTGACAAACAGATTATCAATTCCAGTTTCAATTTTAAAAAGTTGATTTCACAGCTGCTTCATTAGTGGCTCTTACATTTATGTGGGCCACAACTACTTACTAGCCTACCACTACCAGCAACATTTGCTTCTTATATCTGTGCGAGAGTAACACAATAAATTGCGTCACTACCCAAAAACCAGAACAGCAATAAGGTTGCACAGTTTTTCTTTTAGGATGCAATTTGGGGAAGAGATGTGTAGTTTTTACTCCTTGAAGAAAACATTTACTTTTTGATATGAAGAACGTGTGTAAAACAAAACCAAACAAAACAAAGTCCCCAAACAAAATACGCAGTTCAGAATTACCTTCTTACTATTATTTTATTAAGTGCATCTTAACTACCCTTTGCTGCAGAATGGTTTAAAGTCATGGGCAACAAATACACTTCAGAACAAGAAATCCTTTTCCTGGATGGCATCTGATAGCGCACATTTTTCCAGAAACGTCCATTTGCTGAACAAGATTTCTCTGAGAAGTCCCCTTTCCATTGGATAGCTCCATGTTTTCGCTTAATGTATCTGATTGATTCCGGCATGCCTGTGTAGTCTGGTATTTCATCCATTTCTATAAGAATCACTTGAATTCCATCACGGATGAGAGCATTATACATAGCTAGTTGTTGTTCAGTGGCGTCTTCTAATAGGCAGCAACCAGATGTTTCTGATCCCAAAATAATCATCAGTCTTCTGCTTTGCTTAAGGATTTCATCAGCAACACTGACCACAGCTGAAAATAATGAAGGAAAAATCAGAGTCTGCATAGGAACTTTACAACTGCTGTAAATTATTTCTTAATTTTAAAATAGCATTTATATGGAGCAGTGGCTAAATCAGAGGACTGGTATGTTTAAGCTCTCCACACTGTCATTCATGATTCATCATCCACTGCATGAAATTACTGATAAAAAGAGTTTTCTTCAGTTCCCAGGAGCAGATACCATTCAAAAAACCCTCAACAATATTATTAATAATGCTGCTGA